TCAAGGTTTTTTATTTTTATTTTTTTATTTTATTAGTTTCAGATGTACAAAACAATGTAATAGTTATACATTTCACCCCTCACAAAGTAATAACTCCCCGCCCCCAATCTACTACCCCTCTGACATCGTATATAGCTGTTACAATTCCATTGACACTATTCCGTATGCTGTACTCCACATCCCGTGACTATATATATCAAATTATAGTTGACATTCAATATTATTCAGCTTTAGTTTCAGGTGTGCAGTGCAGTGGTCAGACATCTACACCGTCCATGAAGTGGTCTCGCAAATAAGACGTGTCCATCTGACACCCTACGAAATATTTACAACATTATTGATTATATTCTCCAAACTGTCTTTCATATCCTGTCACAGTATTGTAGTTACCAATTTATGCTGTCTAATCCCCTCCCCTTCTCTCTCATCCCCACACCTTCCCATCTAGCAACCATCAGTTTTTCCTCTATATCTCTGAGACTATTTCTGTTTACTTTGCTCCTTTCTTCAGTTCGTTAAGATTCCATATATAAGTGAGATCATATGGTATTTGTCTTTCTCCGGCTGACATTTCATTTAGCATTAGATTCTCTAGGTCCATCCATATCATTGCAAATGATACTGAACTCCATACAATCTGAAGTCGTCAGATAGCCCTAGCAGAGGCCAAACTATTTAGTGTTTACCAGGACCTGTTGTGGTGAAGCTAAACCTAGTCATGAAGTTGACAGTGCCTTTGTGGGGGGCACATTTTAGTCATTTTCGGTCAAAAAGTGGAAATAAAAAGTACTGTTAGCATTTGCAGGGGTGGGGCGGTCCTGTCTTGCTTATAAAGATGACGAAAGCCTAACAGATGAGCCGTGTTTGAACCTAGTCCAGGCATGCGTTCTGACATGAAGGCTGATAAATGGTGTCAGGCTTCCCGCGGCAAGTACTTTGTGACGGCAGGTGTGCAGCTGGTGTCTGGTGCAGCGGGTGTTGGCTGCAGTAGGCTTCGCCCCAGTGCTCAGCTGACAGCTGGCCTGTCCTGAGAGGAGAGGTGCCATGGTGGCCCGGCATCTGGTGGCAGAGAGTCAGACAGAAGAAACCATCCCACTGGCCCTCGCACATTCAGCGTCACTTCAGGTGGGCTCTGCGACCCACTTGCTGACATCACGCTTCCCTGCCTGGGGTGTCTGAGTTCTAACGTTGGGTAGAAATGTTAGGACAACCTTGGCTGGGTTCATTCATTTTTTTGGTGAGCAAGATTAATCTTCAAAAGTAGGTGAGGTGGCCAAGATTCTAGAAGGTCTCACAGCTCAGTTGGATGTTTGATGGCTGCCAGGCATGTTGATTCACAGCTGCTGAGCATAAAATATGATCTAGAGGTAGGTGTTAGCCAAGTTCTACCGTGGAAAGAACAGACCACAGACTACTCTTCTGGGCATGTGTCTCCCAACAGACAGGAAATCATCCATATCGGGGAACTTTACCTTTTTAACTTTATTTTTGTTATCAGAGCACCAATTTCATACCTAATCTCTATGATTAGCTATACAAATGTATTTTTAAAATATGGGAACAAAAACCCATCTTAAATTTGGATGCACGAGTACCTAATACCATGCCACACTGTGTCCTTGTATCAGAGATGTCAGAATTTAGCGTGGGCTCCTTCAGAGCCCCCCAAAATGCAGTATCCCCAGAACTGTTATTGGCCTTTGCTTCATGCATCTTTTTCATCTGCTTTCATTCTATTGGACCATTCTCAATGATTCTTCCACATTAGTGGTTTTTACACTTAGCTCCGGAATATTTTGGTATGTTTTCAATGTCATCTAGATTCTTAAATTGGGTTATAATAAGTTAATGAGGAAAAGAGGACGCTGTTGCTATTTTTTAAATTAATTTTAGGTGTACAAAACAATGTAAGTTGCTATTCTTAATAGTTTACCTGTCTGTGGTGACATTTGTATGTTTCAGTTTTCAGTTTGTTGGATAGTTTGCTTGCGGAAGTGGTTATGTTTTGTTGTAAGACCCTGAACATTTCTATGTTATGCTGGAAGATTGCTGGGGATTTTATTGTCTTTGATTTTTTTCCTCCATGTTTTCACCTGAATTCTGTGTCAGTGAAATGCTGTTGCTGCCATGTCACTTCATTGTTGCAGAAAGGTGATCATTCTCTGAAGCCAGGGGACTTTGCATCAGCAGAAATGCCCTGTGTGCAGGTAGCAGTCTTTCTGCCCAGGTGTCTGGTGGTGGGAGGCACTCTGGCTGGACTCGTGATGAGCTGTTTCCTGAGCAAGTTGAAGTGAAGCGCAATGTGCATCCTCTGAAGTCCAGCCGGAGTGTCAGTGCAGGAACTTGGCACAAGCATTTTCTGAATGGGAGTTCCCACGCAGACAGCAGATGCCACAGGGCTTTCCCATCAGTCTTGTGCAGGTTAGGGAGAACGGAGCTGTAGGTTTTTTCCAGTGAAATGGAGGTTGGCTCTGGATGGTGACTGCAGCTTCTGTTTATAGACTCTTCCACGTTTGCAGCTTTGATATAGCTCAGCTTTGTCGTTTTCATTGTGCATTTTAGGTGGTAACTGCAAGCGAGTAAGGACTTGGGGACCAAGGCTTTCTTCCCCCATTACTAGCTTCAGTCAGTTCCAGCCTTGTCCCGTGTCCCTAAGCTCTGAGAAAGCTCCAGCTACCCCAGGGGTGGGAATCACTAGTTTGTGCTGAGATGTTGCTTGGGTGTAAGAGGAGACTTGACTTTCATTTTCAGCATACATCGGAGGGAGCGCCCTCATGTTTCTCGTAACAAGTTACCACTTTCTGTTCCTTAGCAACACGGAGGTGGAGATTTGGACCTTGTGACTGTGATTCAAGGGGATGAAACGGACATTTTGCAGTTGGTGACCCTGAGCTCTCAGAGAGGAATGATTTGCTAAACACCATGCAGCTTGGGGATCGAGTCTTTAATCAAATCATTTGTTTAGTATCTGTCTACTTGTTATGAGTAATGGGTCTTAGGTGTGATTAGCATTCAATGATCAGGTGCTTATGCTTTGCTTATAGTAGCTATTATATCATGAGGGGTTTGAATAGTAATTAAGTAGGTATTTAGAAACAACTTGTATATAAAAGGTACCATGGACAGTTGAATATACCGAGATCTTATCCTTAAATAGTCATCTTAATTTGTTAAGGTGTGTGCGCTTGTGTGTGTGTGTGTGTGTGTGTGTGTGTGTGTGAATCATGTGGATGTTAGTATTAAGAAGTGACTAGCTTATACTGAAAAGCGGTTGGGGTTCAGATGAATTAACATTCATTTTAAAGTAGGTATACAGGTCTTTTCATAGTTCTTCACCTTATTAAGTAAGTCCCTGTTTTCCTGCCAGGAATTTTAGCACATATACTACCTCCCACATTGTTGGGTTCCTCTTAATGTTGCCGATTCTGACTGGTTAGGAGTGTGCCGAATGGGTAATTCGTACTATCCTGAATTACACTAGAAGCATCCAGTTGAGTGACAAAGGAAAGGAATGAGTTAGGGGGTCTGTTGAGGTGTAGTGTTGATTTAGTGTCATTGGACCTTGGAGGTTTGGTGCAACCTCTTAGATACTGTGGGAGGAGTGATGCTGGTAGATGCTGGCTGAGCCCCACTCAAATATGCCCCTTTTTCTGGTGCTGCCTCTTTGTGGGTAACTTAAAGAAAGTCCCCTGCACATACGAGTCTCTGGAAGATAATCATTTTATTTTTTTGACTGGGCCATGGTTTGAAGTGATCAAACTTATCGTTCTTGAACCTGATGACAGCTTTCATTTCTGCCAAGGGAATCCGAGGTCCAGCCCAGCTAGTGTATGAAAGGAGCAAGTGGGTGAGGGAGTGATGGTAACAGAAGGAATGAGTTGGCTGTAGATGGTGAGCACAGGGGTGGATGAGGTGAAGGAAGGACAAAGACAAGGTTGAAGAGGATTTGGGCGTGTCCTCGTGTTGGCCAAGTGTGAAGGGAGACCTGTCAGTTAAGAGTGCTGTCAGAATGATTTCATTGTTGGCAGGAGGAATGTGCCCGTCTGAATATCGAGACATTGGGGGTCGGTTAGGAGAATTCCGTTTCCCTGTTCCTCGGTGTTTAGCTTCAGTGCCTTTGTATCGGCCAGCTTTATCCACCATGGTAGGTTGTGTGTCCTTCCTTGAGATCACATCACAGTCTACTGTCGAGATAGCTGTGCTGATGGGGTGTCTGTTCCTGCTGTGGTTCTAGGACGGGTAAGTGTGGACATTTGTAAGCGGCTGAGATGAAATCAGACTTGAATACACAGGAGAATTACCTAAGGGCTGGTTGTACAATTTGAGGGAGTGTCTGATTCTGTGGGTCTGGGTCTGAGAATGGCAGGATGCACTGGTTTAGGTTTTACTAGGAATGAAGTATTCATTTTCTGAAACTGCTGCTACATGACTGACTGCTAACTTATGTGGTTGTGGAGAACAATGAAATATGTTATGGAATATTTAAAAATAGGAACACAAACACTTAATCTTTAAAGAGAATTGGTTGTCTTATATAATAATCAATCAAAGTCAATGCAAAATGCTATATTTTCTCCTCGCACTATTAAAACAAAATAGGAATGACTAATAGTAGCCACTGGGATCAACTGCATGGAAGGAGATACATTCCTCTAAATTTCTTGGAGAATATGAACCCATATATCTGATAAGAACAAATTGCCAATCTGCACTTAAATCATGTACCTCATTTGAGGAAACAAGTTTAGTTTTTGGTAATTTTCCTAATAGTGAATCAGTGACCCAAATTTTCACTTAGATCTTCACTTTGGATAAAAATGACAAATAATCAGAAATTTCCAGAAAACAGTAAATATTTTTCAAAACACTTTAAAGGGTAATGTGATCTCAGTAGTGTATTGATTTCCTAGACATAGTCATTTCTGCCTAATGTGCATACTTTTGGGGAATGGTTCATTGGTTTGCATTCTATGGTGGTCGCTGTGCAGAACTTGACTTATTTGCATGTCGGCACATTTTGTTTTACTGTAAGCATCCACATTTTAAAGGTGCTGTAAACATCCCTGGCCTTCTGGGCGGGGAGTGTAAGAAATGCTGTTTTCTGGGGGGAACTTCAGTATATATGTTCTAGCTTAGCTGTGAATACCTTGATGTTTGCTTATTCAAATCTAATACAGCAAGTCCTCGACTTATGAACGAGTTCCATTCCGGGGGAACGTTCGTTTTAAGTGGGATTCATTCATAAGTCCAACAAAGTGAGTGTTATATACCTTTTACACAAATATACAATGTAAAACCAATGGTTGAATGGTTCATGTTATAAGAACGAGTGAGGTCCACCCTCTTTTCACCTCGGTCCAATCTCTCAATTATTTCACTTTCATTTCCATGGTTATTGCTTTGCACTTTCTAACAGTCCCCTCCACATCACCACTGCTTTTCCTCTTGCTTCCAGACATCCTGGGCTCTGATTGAGCACTGTACCAACTGTACACTATCTCACTGTACAGTAAGCACCCAGCAGCACAACTGTGACAATGTCCTGCAGACATGTGAGCTACTTCCGCAATTTGTTCACATCTACGAATGTTCATAATGTGAGGTCCGTTCGTATCTGTGAAACTTCACAACTTGAATGTTCGTTAAGTCGGGGACTTATTGTATGTACTCGTTTCTAATGATGCTTCTCTATGGGAATAGTGTTACAATGGACTGTCCACTTCTATTTTCAGACTTTGAAAATTAGCCACTTTAGTTGGGATTTCTCCAGGTGTGGAAGTGCTGAAGAATATAGGTCTACAGATACAGATCACGTGAGAGTCACTCCATGCTCTAGCAGCTGAAGAAGGAACACGGACTTGAAACAAGGAGACCTCTTTTTCCATGGCTTGTCCTGAATAAAAGAAGACATCATGGAGGATTATTTAAAATTGTGACTGAGGAAGGAACCCACCCTTGAATCAAGGAGATGTCTGTTCTGTGGCTTGGACTGAGTAAAATGAGAATGACAGGATTTATGAAAGTGGTGACTTATTATTTCTATGAGAATAAGTTATTGCAGTGATACTGGTTTCCTTATTTTTAAGTATGGCAGAAAATGTGGGGCATTATATATTTCTAATTATGTATAATGTGTAACCCTCTAGTGAGCTTGACTGGATGTCATGGCTTTGAATTTTAGATCCACCTGGTGTTGTCTCTACTGGCTGGAATTATGGTCCTAAGTGATGTCAGCATAGCAATAGAAACATCCCATCCCTCAAATTTTTGTCTGAGATTATAACTTGGGAAAAAGTTGAAAAAGGGTTACAAGAAAGCATAGACTCATTTTTCTGATATCCTTTCTTTATGGGGAAAAACATGAATGGTTTACCCTAGGCTTTGGTGTCATTATTACTGTTCTCTCCCCAAGGCCTAATATAATAATTGGCATTTAGGAAGTATTTGATAGACAGTGAATCACTTGTTATATTGGTATATTGTCACAGTTATTGGTCGAGTCAATGCATGAATGAACAAAAAGTAAAAGAAATGGACCTTAACGTAGAGGTGAAATTTGGATCCCACCTTAACCCTCAATTTTCTCCTTCTCTGTAAAGATTTGAGTCAAGAAACAAGGGCATTTTATTGGGCTATTTTTCTGAGAGCAGATAATTGGGTGATTCTGTTAGATTCAGTTAGAGTGATACACAAGTGGCAATTTGAGATTGGGGCTTTGGTAGAAAAGGAAGGTTGTCTATTGTTTTATTGGATGCTGCCACCTGTTTCAGTCAAGCTCACTGGAGACTAAATCTTACATGTTAAAAAACCAAAGAAGCATTTGTTCATTGGAACCGATCTCTTGTGCAAATCTCTTAGAAATCAAGAGGTCATTATTACTGAGAAGTAACTGTTTGCTTGTCAGTAGGTACCAGAGTCCTTGGCAATGTAATATATATAAAAATGCACCTGTCATAGTATTGAGTTAGCAAAATATTGGTATTCTCTTGGTTTTTGTAGTGTACATAAACATCTTCTCCAACTCAGTGTAAAACAGAAAACCTTGGATAACTATTGTTTAAATGACAAAAACATCTCGATAACTCCAAGAAACTCCAAGAAAACAGTGCTGGCACGTGAACCTGTGAAGTATCTCAAAGTCATTCATAAACATCATTTGAAATCATACGTGTCTATATTGACTCAGTTTTCCGAGCTGTAAAAGGGTGTTGTCACCTATGTAGGACATGAGGAAGTGTCTGACATTTGTGGACTCGAATGGAGCCTAAGAAATACGGACGAGGATTTCATCCCGAAGCTTACTTAGGGAGTTGACTGTGTGGCGAACAGCGTTAGACGGCTGTGCTGAAGCTACCTTTCTAGGTGAGAGTTTTGTCACCTTTGAACTGTACTAAAACTTCAAGCCAGACCCTTCTATCTTCAGATTCTCTGATTCCTCTGCCTGCCAGAGCAGTCTTGGGGAAAGATGACAAACCACATCATTTTGAAGGTGACATGTATCAATTAGAAATAAGCAATAATCAGAGACAAGACCAAAGAGTATATAAACTGATGTTATGTAGATCATCTTTTTCCTTCCCTCTTCTCTAGTCCATAAGAATCTCTAATCTCTAGAAGTTCCTCCGGCAAGAAGTAATGCAATTACCACCTGGCATGGTGGGCATGGTGCAGGCAGACTTTACACCTCTTATCTACCAACACAGATGAGCAGGAGAGCACAGCTCGAGCGACTGCCCCTGATTGATCAAATGGTAGCTTACAGATTCTCCTGGAGTGTCCTGGACATGTTTACTCCTGCGATGCTGCGCAAGTCTATCCCTCACGCCGATCCAAGGGGCCCGGGTCTGGTCCCTCCTCAGCTCCTGTCTAGACATCTTATGTGTCACGCCGGCCCAGCAGCCTCAGCACAGCATTCTTCCAGAATCTTCCAAAATGCAAGTGTGAATGGTGTCTACTGAACTGAAAATTAGATAACTTGCAGGGTTGGGCTGTTCCCGACCATGTCAGGTAGACCCAAGGCAACCCTGCAGGAGTATGTGGACAGAACAGGGAGGGCAGCAGGTCTGGACTTGAGCTAAAAGCTTCACCGGCTGCAAAATCAAGGGCCAAATAAATGTCCCGAACTTCCTTGCCTTTCAAATATTTACATTTCATTGGACACCTTAGGATTTGGAAAAAACCAGTTTTTCTTGCTATGGATTATCAACTCACCTTGGAAGGATTTGCCAGTACAAGCCCTGCGTATGTGACACTTGTGTGCATATGTGATACTCAGAGGTCTTAAGTTTTTCTCCTCCCTGCTGGCATTTTAAAAAGAGCTCAAAATCTAATCCTGGTATTTTACTGGTTACGTGGAACTGACAATTTATTTAAATACTTAGGAAACTTGTGTTTAAATAATGGTACTAAAATGAAAATATAAAATACTTGGTGAATGATAAATATGTATGAACTGTTCATGGATGTTAGGAAATGAGAATGAAAGTCAACATGTAATCGTTTTATTATTGTTATCTTGTTTACTTAAACTTTCTTGGAATATAATACTCAAGCACAGAGGCCTACGTTTATAAACATTTCTATATTTATATTTTATATACTTTTTTAGTTGTTCTGATAAATGAGCTGGTTTCCTACGGACGTTTCTAAACATGTTTTATTAAATTGTCTTCTGGAAAATATTTTAGAAAGGAATTCTGAGGACATTTTGTACAGCTACACAATTCTGCATTGTCTGTGCTCATGGATAGAAGAAAAGAAATGGACATGAAGAGTGCTTAATACGTTAATCAGGAAAAAAAAGTCAGGTTCTAGTTATTTATGTGCATTTTGAGAAAAATGTGTATAAAATAATGAAATACTGCTTTGCGACATTTCCTAATGTATTGTGATTGTTAACAGAGTTTGGGAAAATATGTAGAACTATTTTAATACATGATTATATTAGAATTGTCAGAATACCTCAGAATGGTGTACGTGTAAAAGCTTTTTTTGGCATTGCTGTGGGCTTTTTTGGGAAGGGGATTGCTCTGTGTATTGTTGTCATAGAGTTTTTATTAGGGTTCCTCTGTGTGGGTGTAATTGTGTAAATGGTCTTTATATTAAAATGTGTATGATATGACGGAATTGTCACGCAAAAGGCCAGCCTCCACGACACTTGCCTGTTCATGGTTAAGTGGGCTTTGTATTGCTGCTGATATAAAAGAAAAAATACTGTGTTATGCCATCTTATCAACCATAGAGATGGCTGATGCTTGGGGCATTTAAATGTTAGAGTAGTTTTGTTGGTTGCTGAGGAGTTGCTAATTGCTTTGCCTGTAATAAGCAAATAAAAGCTGAATTTAGGAGATGGAATAGAGCGTTTGGGCATTTGGGAGGGCTTGGGTGTGTGCACGTGTGCAGAGTCTTGTCCTCCCTGCGCAGATGCTGGGGATCAGCATATATTTTCTAAATATTCTGATGTTAAATAGATGTAGAATTTTTTCCCTTCACTGGTAGAATTGTTCAGTTGTGTTGCAACATGAATTTATTTCTGGTACATATTGCTATATATTTTCTTATGAACAGTGTTATTAATGTTAAATATTTTTGTTTAATATGCAATTTTCTACATGTATAGACAACATTGTAAATTCATTATAAATATGTGTCAACTTACTAGGTTAGAAGCACTTTGGTTTATCAACAGATATTATATTAGTTCTAGCCTCTCAGTGTGTTTATTGGATCCTTAGGCTCAATTTTTACATTGTGGTAAAGATAGTGTGTAGTATTTGTATAATATGTCATTGTTTTATGGCAAGATTCATTATGGTGGAAATGTCATTGGAACGGTTGGTCTGCCTTTGTTTATGGTTTTCAGATCTATTTGCATACAGATAGAACACAGTTGTATAACTTGGAAATCTCTGGTAAAATAAATAGCACAGTTTTGGAAAGTTTTCACTTGCCAATGGAATTTGAGTTTTGAACATAATAGTGAATTGTTCTTGTTTTAAAATACTTATTTCTAGTTGTATAGGTAATTTATAAGTTTTTATGGGGGATGTTAGCAATGATATATCAAACCCAAGTTCATTAAATCATGGACTGACAAAGGAATGTTTGTGTATTATGTGTATATAATAGACACAGTTATGTTTTTTAAAGCATAGGAACTAGTATACTTGCATGTTTTATACGTCTATTAATTATACATAGAGTAAAAACTTTCCCTAAGGGTTGTCATTTTATCTCTGTAAGTAAATAATTGGGCAGCTGAAGGGATGTGTTTTTAGATGGTTGTAATAAAATTCTTAGGGTATATATAAGTTTTACTTTAAAGTTTTAGTCCTTGAAATGTAAGGATTGCTTGGGTATCCATAGGTGTATACATATATGTTGTGTATCTATGCATGTACATATGTGTACACGTGTGTATAAAACTTTATATTAAAAGTCATAGCTTAGAAATGTCATGTTTTAGCCACATGATTGTACCTCAGCTTTAGTCTATGTTCTTTGACTTGTTTGAGGGTGGATGGGATAGGACATTTTGGTTTATGAACTTTATTACTTATTTCATAACATCTGCATAGGAGTTGCTGATACGTGTATATTGTGTGACCACCAAACTGATACACAAAGGTGAAAACACTATTTTGGCAAATTGAATTGCTATACTTTGTCTATTTGGGATGTATTGGGTTACTGGGTTTTGCATTATTATTTTCTTTGGTTTATAGAAGATAAATATCATTTTATAAAACACTTCTGGATATATGATTTCTGTCAATAATTGAGAAATAAATTTAGAAATACTGAAATGTTAAAAGATAGAATCATGGTTTGATCATAGGTACAGAGCGAGTGTCTTCATGTGAGTTCAACTTGATTTTAATGGTTTTTGTTTCTTGTGTTCTTGACGTTTTGTAATTAGACCTTTGTTCAAGTGTAGAAATCATTGCCATTTATATTGTAAGTAATGTAAACATGTACAGTTTTTCTTATCCCATTTAATTTTAGGATGTTCAACGTTGGGTAGGAGGGAAGTATTTGACTGCTGTATGTATAATAGACAAGCTTTTTGTATAACATCTTAACTTCCTAGGTGTATAGAAATGTTCTCTTTGCGTGTAATTGCACGCATGCGTGCACACTCACACACACTCACACACAGAGTAAATATAAATGTTGAACTATGGTTAAAAAAATACCAATAGAAGTGTTACCTGACCGTTATGTGTTCTATTTCACTTAGTGTGTATAGGGGCGATTAGATAGTTGTGTATATTTGATCAGGTTTTTGTTTTTATACCATATAATGTTGCTGATGTACAGAACTTTCTGTCACATTTTTAAATATATATCATCTAAAATTATAGCATGTGAACTTTTATGTTTCTTTGCTTATAGAAAGGGTGAACCACCTGCTGTTGAGCATTGAGTGTGATCTTTCCGACTGCTGGGTGTTCATCTTTAAAACCCGCTCTTTCTATATATGTAGCATTGCTGATATACTTTCAATTATCAGAAACTTTGTGAATACAATTCCATTTTTTCACTGTATGTTTAGTGATTTGTTTTAAGGGATTTGGACGGGGTAGTGGATGTTTTCTGATTTCATCTCTAATGCGTGATTCTTTTGCTTTATATCTATTCTTTTTGGTTTATTCTGATTGTGGACATGCACATGTTGCAATTAAGGTGTATTTAACTTTTGCAAATTATTTTAAGAACTCTATAGGTGGCTCTTTGGAGTTTAACAGACGTATTTAATGATTGCTTTAGAACAACTTGGCTTTGTAAATACATAGAATGTTGATAAAACAGGATGATGGAGGGTAGAAAGTTTTCTTTTGACATTGTTCTCCCTTGTGTAGTATTTATTGGATTGCTGGGATTATTAGAGACAAGTTATTTGAAAATTGGGTTAAAAGCCTCTGAGCTATATTTTTGTTACTTGTATATATGTTGTCAGGGCGGAAATAGAAATGGTTAGAAGTATTTTTTTTAGAAGTATTTTTGCCTTACATTCTTTTTAGAAGAAAAATTAGATTGTAATTGTCAAGTTGATTGTAACCATTTTATATAAAAATACCTCAGTTTAAGGGATACATACATCTGTCTTATTATCCCAGTTGTACTGGGGTTCATGATGCAGTTCTCTTTTCTAAAGAACATGTATAGACTCTCTAAGCTAAGTGGTTCTGTGTCCATTTGTTACATGGCAATAACCAAGACAACTTTGTAAATAATGGGCACTGGAATATTTCATTTTAAGCATCTGGAATTTCTAGGTATATGGAGAGTCTCACATAATTTTGTAAATATGCCATTGTAAATTTGTTAGTATCATTGTCTTTCAAAAATAACATGGCAATGCAATAGTTGATTAACAGGCTCTTGGAGCTATGCAAAATTTATGTATTAATTTGGTTGGTAAGAGGAGAATTGGACAAGATTATGAATTTACCCCATTCTCATAGAACAGTTTGCCATCGTATCAAGTCTGACGTATATATTAAAAAACTTATACCATGTAAATTCATTTGGCGTTTTTTTGATGTACCAACTTTTCTGATATATTTCTTTTATATTATTATTTTTTATTAAGACGTTTTTTACAGCAGTTTTAAGTTCACAGTAAAATTGAGGGAAGGTACAGAGATTTCCCATGTCTCCTGCCCCCAGTGTCAAGCCATCACATGGGTATTCACACCCATTGTCACCATCTCCCACCAGGTGACATGTTTGTTATAACTGATGACGTATATTGACATGTCACAGTCACCCAGAGTTTACATTAAGGTTCATTCTTGGTGTTGTATGGTCTAACAGTTTGGATAAATGTATAACGACATATCCATCATTGTATTCTACAGAGAATTTTCATTGCCCTAAAAGTCCTCTGTGCTCTGCCTATTCATCCTTCCCCCCTTCCATATTTTTTTGAACATTCACAATATAAATGATTTTGTTTAAGAGATTTTATACTACCTCTTGGAACTATACACAGTTCTGTATGTGTTCCCTTGGTTGCATGACAATATTCAAGACAACTTTGTAAATACTAGGCAGATACAAGTTTTAATTTTCAACATCTAGTCTTCCTAGATGTATAGAGTCTCACAAAGTATAATTTTGTAAATAATTCATTGTAAAATTGAATGGTTTTATTTTCTTCAAGTGTCTTAACAAAATTGATAGGATGGTGGGTTTCTTGAGCTGTTTATTGATTTTTTTATCTGTTTATGGAATTGCTAGGGGAAGGAAAGTTAAAAGGGAAGGTGCCTTCACTTTTGCTTTCTCAAAGAAAATTGTACATTTAAGCCATCGTTTAGTGCTTATATGAGACATAAAAAAGCTGTTGTAATTTTATAGTTGTATTGATAGGACATTATATGTTTTAATCATAGGAAAAGTATTTTATGACTTTATTCGCCCTCTTTGAACGACAGTTTTGTATTTCATAGGACTGCGGGACAGCATTCAAGACAGCTTTGTAAATAACACGTACATGCATCGTTTTTAAACATCTAGTTGTTCTAGATGCATGGAGTTCGGCAAAATATAAAGGTGTAAATATGTCATTGCAGACTATCATAAGTTGGCTTCTGTAATGTTTTGGCAGGGTCATAGGTAATTAATAGTATGTGGCCTCTAGAGTTATATAACATGATTTTCAGTGGATTTTGGGGGAGAGGCTTAGACAGATTGTCTCCATATCTTCATATTGGTAAGTTCTCATGTAAAAGGAAAGATTACATTGCATATTTTTAACAAAGAGAAAATACCCATGGGTGTATTTTTATATTTAGGAAGAAAAAGGAAGACATAAGAAGGGAATCACTGTTTTAAATCATATTCAGAGTTATATTCAGAGAGATACTCAGAGTTAGAAGAGATTCACATTGCTAAAGTAATTAATTTGCTATGCTATACTCATATACTCTGCAAATTTATGTATGTATATGCATATCCTTGTATATTATAAACGTATATACACATACACGTAAAATTAGTTTTTGGAGTATAGATCTGATGATCTCTTATTTATTAGCTTATTGCTTTACATTTTAATTTTTTTAATTATGAAAATTGTATTAATTCTTAGCTTAAACATTTCCAGAAGCCTGCTTCATGATATATATATATATGTATATGTATGTATGTTAATTGTTATATAAGATAATTAAACTGCTCCATATCTGTGTTTCAATCTGTTTTTTCATGTATATGCATCTGTATGAGAAGATATCCCTTTTTTTTTACTTAAAATTTATTGGGGTGACAGTGGTTAGTAAAATTACATAGGTTTCAGGTGTACCATTCTGTAATACATCATCTATATATCACATATTGTCTCGCAGCTTTTTAAAATTTTCTGGTTAATAGTTATATTTGTATGTTAGGTGATGAAACAAATGTCAAAAGTATTGTATTTTCAGTTGCATGTTTTTTAGAAAGGACCTGTCCGGTATCAATGAAAGTATAAATCAGCATAGCTTTTTGAAGAACAGTTTGGCAATGACATTCAACATGAGTATGTAAAAGTTTTGAAATGATGTAAGTAGTTGCTAGGATTTTCTCTGTTCTAACTCTCAAATTTATGAAGAAGAAAGTATGGTACAGAGTATAACAAATTGAACCATGGAAATAATGCACCAGTAAAAGAAAGATTGTAACGATTATAGCTTATTCATATGAATGTAATTCAAACACTGAAAAAATAATCTTATATGGAAGTTTGTTTTAAGTCAATATTTAAAATGTCATTTTTGAAACAAGCATCAACTCATTGTGTTTTCAGAGGTGAGACAGTTTGCCTCTAGCTTTTCTAACAGAAATGTTCATTGTTTCTATTGGGGAATGTGATTATTCTGACATGAATGGAGTTAGTAATGCTTGTTCACCCCTGTTATTATAATGGTAATTATAATCCTGATTGTTATAGCATTTTTTGTGAAATTGTACACGTTCAAGTTACATATTAAAGCATTGTTTGTCTATATATTTGTATATTGCTCCATGACAATCTAAAACGAACATATGAATTATTGAAAAGAATGTTGTCTAGAAGACTTTATGGCAAAATTTTAACTTTGCTGTCTCGAGAGATGGGATTAGAAGGACTGCTTCTACTTTTCACATTTGAAATTTTAAAGGACTTCAAAAGGAACATTTCAACAACAGGGAATTTTAAAGCTACAGCCAGTTTGTGCCTGTCTTTATCCTTGCCTTCCAACATCTTGGGAATATCGGGCTGTTGTATCCAGCTGTGTATTCTCGGTGGCCATATGAACAGCTGATGATGATCACATGACTTACAGACCAGTGTTCCCAGTGAAACACAGTGTCGGATTACCCAGGGAAAGAAGAGTGGGAAGGAGGAGGTATGTGCTTACTGTACTATTTGGATTGACAAACAGATGAGTGATGAAAATAACGACTGAAACTGTCTGTAAAGGATTAATTTTGATAAGGCAGTGTCACATTTGTGGTTACTGAGCAGATGGAGTTGTTAGAGGGAGGGTCTCTGTTTTGAGAGTTACTCTTAATGAGTAATTGGAGAATGGATTGTTTACTTTTATGGTAGTTGATTCTATCAGAAGCATTTTAAGTAGGTTTCTGTGGCTTTAGATTATTTGGAATTAGCACAGAAACATTTCAGTATTTTTAAAAGATTTTATTGGGGAATTGGGGGAGGGAACAGCATTGGGGAATCAGGGAAGGGGAACACACAAGTTGCTGTCCTTTTGTTCTTCAGTCTAGTTGTGGAGGACGTCGCTTCACTGGCCCATGTTGGTATTATCATTGCGCTCTTCTCGGGTGAGGCAGTTGCTCGCTGGCCATTGGACGACCGCTCACGGTGGCTCACGGCAGCTCACAAAAGCTCATGCCCGCTGCTGGCCAGCCCCACTGCAGCCTACGCTTGTTGCCGGTGACCCACAGTAGCCCAGCTCCAGGTTGAGCTGTTGCTCACCATCTTAGCTGTAGAGGGCGCAGCGTCACTGGCCCATGTGGGATCTGAACCAGCGACCCTGCTGCTCAGATCTGGCATCCCAAACCAACTCCTAATAAACATGCTGCTCGGCCAGCCGCATTTCAGTATTCTTTACCTTTGTGCTACAAGTGCTCTGAAAAGGTGAGGCAGTAGAAAAGTTATCTTTTTGGGCAGTCATATTTGCTGGTATTGAATGATATTAATTCAATTCATCCTAATTTGTGTTCTGGCATCTCCTTTGTATCTTACCTTGGCTTTATGATATATTTCTCAGGTGAATATGATGAAAGAAACACATATTTGCAGATAACCTGAGGACAGCTAACATCAAGAACATCCCTCTTTCTATGGAGTGTTTAATTCATGCGTCGTAACTCTAAACCACAGGTAAGAAGGTTTTGGATCAAGAAGTGCTGTTGTGGGACGAGGCTCTTGCCAGGCCCAGGACGTTAACACTAGTGCAGACTTCGTTTTTCTTGGGCATCTGGGAATTTTCAACTGTGCCTGAGAATTAGTAACTTAATTTATTTTTAAAAAAACTTGATTGGGGAACAGCTATGGTCATTGGTTACACAGTGCTTTCATGCTACAATGGCATAGTTGACCCTTTTAAGGAGAGCGCAGCTCACAATGGCCCATGCGCAGACCTTAGTGTTATCAGCACCATGCTCTAACCAGCCGAGCTAACTGGTCACCCCCATTGCTTAATTCTTTTAAAAGATAATTTTAGCAAAGTAAAGATGTAGAGTATATGCAGAAAGTAAGAGATTATTTGTATCTTCAGTTAATTTACTTAGGATCAACCCTGGCAATGTAACTAGTGTTACAAAGGAAATGGTCAATTGTGCAAGAATAGGAAATTGTGAAGTAGCCAAACTATATTTTTGGAAGTATAGTTTTGTAGAGTGATCAGGCAGAAGTTTGTGTAAACTGAGGAAACGTGCTGATAATGAAAAGCAGCAGTAGTGGAATCATGGCTGACACGGGCTGAATCAGCTAGGGGACTGATCAGTGAGGAATTGTTTTTTACGAGTTCACAGGAATTTGTAACAGCAGCACGAGCCTCCCGTACCTGCTGTGTAAGCTGTCTCATCAGAGTGGAGTGTGACTCACCTTACAGTGTTTCTCCTTTTCCCTGTCAGGAGGTGAGCGTTCCAGGAAGCCACACCTTTGCCATCTTGCTTTTTAATGCCAAGATTTGGTGCCTACAGACCTGTCGAGCACTCCTCAATCCAGTGCCCTTCATGCCCATCACTGGTCCCAGGACCACCCCTGGAGAGCTGATTGTAAGGATAGCTGATTGCGCATTTGATGAGGCTGTAGTTGGTGTTTTGCCACTTTTGGTGGCAGCTGATGGGATTGGAGAGAGTGGTTTAGGTTACATATTGCTGACTGGCAGATTATCCTGAATTTATTATTGTGTTATTTCCGTGATTTCATGGTTGACAATTTCGGATAGGACCAGATGTGTGGGATCCACTGGGAAAGCCCAGTGGTTGAGGGTGACACAGACCCCTAGAGGGCGGAGCATGTGCACAGTGCTGTCACATACCCGCAGAGCTTTGAGATGCCTGGGAAGTCTGAGCTGAGGCCTTGAACTAGAGGGCCCCTCCTAGCCATTTCCAGAGGAAACAACTAGTGTTAGAGGAGAAACACTATGACAGTGACGTGGCCTTCTGATCTGGCTTCAGAAGTCACATAGCATTACTTCTGCTGTGTTCTGGTAACAGCGTCATATTGCCAGCCCATATTCTAGACGTTTCCATCCTACATGAAGGACCAGATGGAACAAGGCAAAGTAAAGAGCTACATACAGCTCAGGTCTTTAGTAGTTATTTTTTAATTTTTATTTTTATTTTGGGGTCTTTTCACAAGGTTCTCCTCAAATCACATCTCTCTCTGAGATCAGTTTCTAAAATGAAGTCCAGAATTCCACTTCTCATACACTGAATTTCTCACCACTGGTTTCCCAAACACCTTCCTCATTCATTGCCAGGCATAGATTAAAGTCTTGTGGAATTTTTTGTGACTTTGGGAGTAAATTCGGCAAAATATGGGAAGTTGGAGAGAGAAGCAAATTCCATGGTTTGGGGGATTAAGTTTGGGATACAAAAGGGAGAAGAGCCCAGGTGCGGTGTGCCAGTGTGAGATTTACACTCAGAACTAAAGCTGCGGGACTGCCAAGGATGGGACAACCGTCCATGAAACCAGTAATGTCACAGTGAACTGTGCATCCCAGCTCCTAATGCATGCACAGCTGTGATTTCTCCTCCTTCCTTCACTTCCCACTACACCCCTTAGAAAGTTAATTCATGGGACATACTGCCAACATTAAACTTTTTTTCTCAGACCCTCACTGCCTACTTGTTATCCACGGAATAACCTTGAAAGTGAAGGTTTTGAATCAGGAAAATGCCCCCCGCTCCCCTTAGGATAAATCGAAGCTTAGTAGATTAATGCCCTTTTTTTGTGGGGGGAGGTGTACTTGGCAGTTCTGATAGCTAGCTGGAATATTGGGTCAGGAGTTAAATATTTTCCAAAGTTCCATTGTAGCCTGCATATCTTTAGTACAATTACTGTTTTTCTCATCAAAAGGACCGAGCTCGTTTTATTCTTTTCATTGCAACGTTTGGTCACTGTTGTCATGTTTCTCATACAGAAAAAAATCATGTAGGTTGTATGAAATCTGTATATGAAAGAGTGACTGAGAGATACGAGCCACCAAACACATAGTTGAAAAGGATGCAGACGACGTGAGGAGAATGTTGGAGGGATCAGTCCACTTAGCAAAGTACATGAAGAAAGAGTACCAACGTATGGCCTCCTTAGTGTGGGAAAATTCCCAAAGGAATTTCACTGTTGCATTTCATTGCACACACAAAAATTTCATTAGTTCCTACTGAACTCATAAAGTGTGCTTCTGACTGTTCCTCGTTTTCCCCACTGTGTCCTCTTCAGGTGATGAATGAAGAGGAATCTGATGTCATGGCTTCTGCCTTCTTCACCGAAACCGGAAGATGGTCTTCATAAAATATGGATACTCGTCTTGTGTGTGCCAGTGGACACTCCTTGCAGATCAGAAAAACTGGACTGAGAAAGCTCATGTTTGAACATGACCTAAAGGGTGTCACTGGAGAGAACCGGACCAGGCATGTTGACTGTTGGCCTGGGTCTCAAGAGTGGGAATGGCGGAGACGTTATTACAGAGATGCTTAGGAGGTGTAATTGGGAGGTCTCGTTCCAGCACTCCCATGAGTAAAAGTGCTTGTATTTATAATTTTCACTTATCACAGGGTAAATCTTTTTTAATTAAAGTTTATTGGGGTGACAGTGTTTAGTAAAGATACTTAGGTTTCAGGTGTACAATTCTGTAACAAATCATCTATATATCACATTGTGTGTTCACCACCCAGAGTCTATTCTCCTTTCATCACCATATTTGATCCTGTTTAGCCTCACAGGGTCAATTTGAAATGTATTCACAAAAACTGGTTTTTTGAGATTTCAGAGGACATAGAAATTAAAATATAATAGTTGTACTTTAAATGCCTTCGTTTTCTTTTTAATTTCACTCCCCAATGTTATCTACTATTAATGGAGGTTTCTGCACATTTTCTGGGTTGTGTTGATGAACAAATTAATACACCCATATGTTAGCTACATACTTTCTAGGCAGTAAACATACTTATATATAAATTATTTTGAATTTGTTCAAGTTATTTTTTGAAATGATTTCAATGAATTGGAAATGCTAGGACTAAGGATATTCAAAATTTATATTTTGAGTCAAAACAGCTTTACCCCTAGTTGTAGAGATTTCTCACCAGTCTGTCTCCCAGTGTTTGTTAATGAGAGTTCAAACTACAAAACTATTCAAAATTGTGCAAACATTAAATACTGGTGTTCTTAATCCTTGACAGTGGTATTAGACATTGCTCTTCCGTCATTGTTCAGCTCAGTCATCTTCGTGTATCCTTATTCTTCATGGGTGTTTGACTTTGTATTATTTCATTTTCTTGTTTTTTTTTCATTTCCCTTGGAATGTTACTGTCTTGGTTACTGGTTTCTAAGAGCTCATATATGACTAAAGATGTTAGCCATTTGTCATGCAATTGCCACATATGTTGCTGTCATTTTACTCTGGTGGTTTATTTGTCGATTGTATACAAGTCATGTATTGAAATACACTCATGTTCTCTTTTATGCCTTTTGTGTATTGTGGTTTTCTTTGAAAAACATGTTTTCATTAGAACATAAATTTTTTCTATTATATTTTTCGTCAGTTATTTTGTCATTGTTAAGTTAATCATTACTATGGTTTTAAAGCATTACATACTCAAACTATTCATCTTGACTTGAGCAGTTACCACTTGATTCAAATTCTATATTGTATAGAAATTCCCCCATATAATTGGCTGCATTTCTATTGACTTGTTTTTTTACCTCTATTGATAAAATTACTGATGCTTTTTATTTTTCAGTCTTATCTAGTCCATTGAGTTCTATGTCATTTCTCTTCTTTTTCAGAACATTCCCTGTCTATATTCGCACTTTTTTCTCTCAAATGATGCTTAAAATTATTTTGCAACTTGGAAAAAAAATGCAATTTTGATTTCATTTACACCAAATTTAATAGATTTATTAGGAGAGAATAAATCCCTTTAAAATTGAGTCTTCCTATCCAACTGCAAGGTATGTCTTTCTATTTTTAATCAAATTGTTATGTTGGGATACTGCTACTTTAGTTTTTTTATTTAGTTTCAGGCATTTCACAGTGTTGAAGTCATGGAAATTTTACACCCAGTTTATTGACACATGAAGGCCGTTTTGTATTTTTTAATGGCATTTAATTGAAATTCTAAAATTAAGGCTCTCTTTCATAATTAGTAAGTATTTCCAGAATATTTAGAATCACAAAGTACCCTTGGTTATTTGAGTGTTAATACTAATCGTGTTAGTTTAAGGTTTGTTTACTTAGGGTTATTTTAGGAAACTTTTATTGTGAATTTATTACCAAATTTGTTGACAGGTTTCATTAAAATGTCTTATATATTACAGTTGACCATACTTGCCATTTTAATTATTGATTAGACTAAAAATTAACTTTTTCTAAAAACAAAGTCTTACATGAAGTGATTTAATGAACTAAATTGTGTGTATGTGAGTGTGTGTGTATACATACTCCCCTATTAGAATTGTTATAATTTTATTTGCAATTTCTGAAAAGATAATCCTAAACAAACAGCTTTATTTTTATGTATTTTTTTTGTCAGGGTTTTATATTTGGTTTACTGGCTCTACCGAAACTCTTTAAGGTCAGCATTGTTTCTTTAATTTTTATTTTGAAATAATTTTTGGCTTACAAAAGTGTTCAAATCAGTGCGTAGTTACTATTTTTTTGCTTTTTAAAAACTTAAATTTATTGGGGTGACATTGGTTAAATAAAATTATCAGTTTTGATCATGTATTTCTATAATACATCATCTATATATCACAATTTGTGTTTATCACCCAGAGTCGGTTCTCCTTCCATCACCATATATTTGACCTCCTTTCCCTGTTAGACAGTGTATGAGATATGTCTTCCAGGGGGCATGCAGCATTTACTCTAGTCAGGAAGACTTGGAGCCTAAAGGTCATCTTAAGTCACTGATTTTTAGTTCCTTGGGCTGTACAACTCAACACAAAAATGTAGACTGCCTAACCTATGTCATGGGAAGATGTCTCTAATAGCCTGTGGTTCTCCTTCATCTCTTATCTGTGGTGATCATAGAACCATGTGTTGAATGAAGCACAGGAATCACAAAAGGAGAATGCTCTGGAATATATGGAGCAAAGACTCTGGAGGGCCGTTGCATCACTGAGGCCTTTTTCATGAGTGAGAAGTATATGTCTGTTGTGTGAAGCCATTGAGGTTTTGACGTTGCTGTGACTTCAAAGTGATTAATATAGTTGGATAAATTATATATAAGAATTCAAGGATTGGTGAATGCACAGAATGGAGGATTGGATTGATGGTTTAAAGCTTGGTTGTAGGAGTGGATGATAGAAGGAAGGATATAAGGGAAGGTTAATGAAATTTTCTATATAATTAAGCTTAAATTAAAATATAATTTAACAATTAATGGACAAAGGAATACATGATTGGATATTTAGAAAGAAGTCTGGAAAAAATGGTTGCAAGAATCTTGCTTTATGGAATTGAAGGTAGAATAATGGATGAATGAATGCAAAATTGGGTGAATGTAAGAATAGATGGAAACTAGAATATATATGAGCATTTGGCTGGAGACAAGAATAAAAAAATGAATGTTTTCTGAAACTAATAAAAAAGAATGTTTTCTAAGAAGCAGTTGGAAGTATGGATGGATGGTTTGATGGACTCAGTATTCAATGAAAGTGGAGATAGATAATCTAGATGTTAGAATTCGAGTGGATTGCAAAATGGAATGTTAGGTGCATGCTAGAGATCTAAATACCTATTTAGATTGATAGGTGCAAACATGGTTGACTAGAATAATGGGTGAATATAGGGATTAATGCATAGATAAATTGATACATGAGTGTGATAGCATTGTTGATGGTTTTAGGGTGGCTTCATAGATGGATTGATGCATAGATGGATTTTAGGAAGGATGGTACAGGAATTTCATCATTGAAAAATACAGTAATAAAATCACATGGTAAAATTGAAGAAGATGGCCAGACTATTATTGAATGATATAGGCTAATTTGTTGTTACTTATAAAATTAGAAAAGCTTAGTGGTTGGATTCTCAAAATTTTCTGATAATAAGAAAAATAAACCAAGTGTAGCGAGTTCACAAAAATAGCTTTCTCTAATAATGATTTTTAAAAATATTTTAATAAGTTGGGGATTTTTAGGGGGTTATGGTCATGTACATATCACAATTTCCCCATATTCTCCACAGTTTTAACTTGAGTTTAAGAAGTGAGACCTTCAGGTGCTTCATTACCTGACATTTCTATATCAATCCAAATTCTTATTCTTGTTCATCATTTCTGTGGACTTTATATCTTCAAAAATGCTGGTAAGCATCAGTAAAACTGTTGTACTATATTTTCACTAGTTTGTGGAATCCAACTTTATTTGTAATATTTTAAAATCTAAAACCATATATGAATTCCATAAAACCTAAGATTGTCAAATTGTGGAGTGATTGCCAATGAGATGCAATAGAAGACACAGGAAGGCTCAAATTTTAATGCAGCGTTGATACATAGATTTATAGATTTTGGTGTCCTCCTCTGTACTCTCATAGAATGTGATGTTATCTAGACAGAGGTGGTAATCTCTGTACATGGTAAAATTTAAATTTATTTAAATATTAAATATTTTGGAATAAACACTTATACTTCTCTGTGCTCTGAATATATTGTTGCTTTCCTCTCTTGGTTTATTTACCTGGATTAATGGTGGATGGATAGAGGGAGATAAGGAAGGAAGCCAGACAGGTAGGGTAAAAATATGAAAGGAATATAAAAAGGCATAGGACGCAAACCATTAGGGAGTAGAAACTTATTTTCAGCTGTCCAAAACAACACAATTAGTTTTAGCTGTATAAAACAACAGTGATTAAATACTTATATACCTCACAAAGTGATTTCCCTCATTTAGCCTAGTACCCACTTGGCACTATACATAGTTATTACAATATTATTCACTGTATTCCCTATGCTGTACTTTACATCCGTGACTAGATTTTTTTTTTTTAGCTGAGCCATCCTGCCACCTGGCGGCAGGCATCTCAGCTGGGGCCGGGCATCAAACCGCTGTTGCTCAGAGCTCAAACTCTTGAGTGAGCTCTTAACCAACTGAGCCACTCGGCTGGCCCCTAGATATTTTTTTCAAATTATATTGACATTCAGTGTTATTTTATGTTTGTTTCAGGTGTACAGTGTAGTGTGTCAACATGATGTTACTTATTTGTGGAATCTAAAGTAAGTAAATGAACAAACAATACAAAATCATAGAGAACATTTTGATGGTTGCCAGATGGCGGGTGCGCTGGGTGAAAAAGGTGAAAAGATTAAGAAGTACAAATTGGCAGTTAAAAGATTATCATGGGGATGTAAAGTTCGGTATGGGGAATAAAGTCAATAATGTAAAACCATATGTAGTGTCAGGTGTCTACTAGACTTATTGGGGTGATCACTTCACAAAGGAAATAGAATTTGCTCCAAGTAATACGGGTCTTAATGACAGCAGGAGGTTAAATTTTATTTCCAGATGCATGATTTAGGGGTACTGCTGATATTCTCAGTGAATGGTTGACAGTTGAGGAATATTCCCAGATTAGTGTCGGGGAAGTAGGTTCTTAACCCTCTTTCATTTGATGAGTGAATGAAGATTGTTCAAATGTTTTCAAGCATTCCCTTTTTGTTTGTTTCTTTCACAAGCATCTCCGATAAGGACCAAAGAGATTTTGACTGCAGGTAAGAACATCGAGGGCTATATTCTGATATTAACATACCCTCATTGGCTGTGTTGATGGATTTGAGTATTGTCTGAGATCTTTGATACTATATGTTTCATCAAACCTATTATGTGGCCTGTCTGGTGATTTTGAGGTCATAGTTTAACCCAGGATTTTAGAGTTGTCTCTTGTTAGTAAATAACAGTAAGTTCTTAAATTGCAGTGCAAGGGGTTGTCCTCAAGTCAGGACCATAAGAAGTGATACACGAAGCATCCCGTAAAGCAGGGAGAATAAATGTGTGAATATTGCCATAATGGATTTTGGTGTTTGAAGAGATTTCCATGAAATACTGGAATTTTCAGAATACATTAGCATTTCCTTGTATTGTTTCTCTTTTATTTTTTAACCCTGAACTGGTATATAAATTAGCAATAAGAAGTTACACAGGAAATGTGGTTCAAAGTGCATGCGTGCTTGAATGGCACGAAAATGGGGAAAAGAAGGTGGGCACTCCAATCATTGTCCAGGGGCCAAGGAAGGAAAGTCATGGTTTCGTCTTATTGGTACAGTAAGCGTCCCTAGTTTTTGTAGCTTGGAGATACTTAGCATCAGGGTCACGGGAGCTGTTTTCCATGGAGTACCAGGAAAGTACTTGACTTGGAGACGATAAGCATGTTAGGAGGCATGGCTGTGTGATAAACCTGTTTGTTTTCATCTGCAATATCTCCCTCTACTCTCCCAGGTGGTCAACATGTGGACAACAGGACCATACATACCTTCTGCAGTGGTTCCACCCACAGCATCACCCACATGCTGTCATTATCCCCCCCTTTGGGAAGCTTCTTGAGTCTATCTAAAAGGGCACAACTTTTAGATACGTATCCTCAGGAATAGAAGTGACCTGCTTTGTGGCAAGTAATTGCCTGGAATGTTAAGTACTCCTCTGTGCTCTGAATATATTGTGTGCTTTTCTCCATTGTTTTATTTACCTCATTGCATATTAATCCATGTGTTACTTTCCAAATGGAAGTGAGATTGTGGGTGTGGGTGTGGGTGTGTGGGTGTGTGTGTGGTAAATGTAGTTTTGCAACCCCATGGACACACTGGCCATGCCCCAAATTATAGCCAGGCTTTCTCTCACGCTAAGAGTCTCCCGTGGGTCATTTTGGTACCATTTGTAAGATCCGTTGTTCCTCATTTGAATCATGAGCCCACGGTTTTTAAAGAGGCCCCAAACAAGATCCCCTTAAACATTTGTGTTCCCTGCAATAGTCCATCGGTAGTTTCCCTTTTTACTGAACCTTGTAGGTTTCATTCTAGAACAGGATCCGACTCTGATTGTACTTGACCTCTTCCCTAAGGCCCCATTGGAGGACTCGACTGCCATCACAGCTCTTGTTGAGTAAGGGAGAGCCTTGGAACGAACCATTTTCAGCCATGGTGATGCTAAGTTGGACAACACATGGTTCCATCATTTTCTTGGTATCTCTGGAATTTTCTTCTTTGGGGTTGCAGTAAAAATTTCAAGATGCCAAAGAGATTTCCCTGTTATCCCCATGACCCTGATTTCCATTTGCTGTTGAACCCGTGTGGGCTTACTATATATATGGCTGTTTCTTGGCAGTCTTCGTTGGCTGCTTTTGGCACATAAACTGCACTGTAATCAAGGAACTTAACTGCAGTTCCCAATCTGTCCCAGGAGACCAGCTTGACAGCTAGTACATTGAAACAGGGCCACCAAGAATGAATGGGTTATTAAACAATTTAAAGCAAACGCCATCTACCCTTCATCTTCCATTTGTAATTCCTGGGGATCACAAGAGTTAACCATTTCTGATATCATGGTCAATAACTTTTCTAAGCTTTATATAAGTTTATGTTGACATCTTTTTACAAATATGCCATCATTACAGTACATGTTTCGCAACTTTATTTTTTTATATACTGTGGACATATTTTCAAACCAATAAAGAGCTTATGTAAAGACTTCTCATTGGATGTAAAGTACATATTATAATGGGTTTATCCATTTCTCTCTTTGGGAAATGTAGGTTAAGTGTTTGTTTTTGCTGCTGCATATAACGTAATGTACTCAATTATATAACTACAAGAATGCACTTGGGCTCCTAATTCTATTGGGTTGTCGGAAAGGTAATGACGTATTTTTTTATGTTTTTCATTGCAAAAATGCATCATGACTTTTCTGACAACCCAATATAAGATAAATTTCTAGATGTGGCACTGGTGGGTCATCAGCTTCACATACTCTTGATTTCAGTAGATATTGTTAAATTGTGTTTTCCAGCTCATCACACAGCTGTCGTGTAATGGCAGTGCTAATTTTCATAAAAACTTGTATGCAATGGATGTTCTCAATCCTTTAAGATTTTAGCCAATCTAATAGGTGAAAACACTGCTTTTAACTTGTCTAAGTAACTTAAACAGTAAATGGCCATGGATATAAAAAAGTCCAAATAGTGACAGATCATTTAAAAAATAAACACAATAGAGCCCCTTTCCTCTAATCACAAGAGTCATCCTGGTTGGTTGTAAGAGGCAGGAACCATTGACCTTTCTAAATGTAGTGCTTCCTGGAGGTTCATAAACTTCCTAAGTATACCTTATACCAGTGTTTATTTTTTTGACATTTTATTTTGAAAATAATTTTAGAGTTTCAAGAACCATACAGAGAACCCCCATGTACTTACTCTTCAGCCAGATTGTTTTCCACAGTGTTGTGTTCTCTTTCTCTTCTCTTCCTCTCATCCATACCCCTGTCTGTCTCCCTCCACTTATTTGTTTTTTATGAATTATTTGGAAGTTGCAGATATGTCTTTGGCCCCAAATATTTCAGCATTAACTCTCTAAGAGACTATACTATATTATATGATTATGTTAACATTGTTATAGTTTTCTAAATCATGAAACTTATAAGTAGTACAAATACATTAGTATTCAGTCCTTAGTCAGATCTCACCAGGTGTGTCCTGATAATGCTCCTTACAACAATTCCTCTTATTCAGGATCCAGAGAAGGATGCTATAGAATTCAAATGGTATATTTCTTAAGTCTCATTTCATCTGGAACTCTTTCTCATTCTTTCTCTTTGATGACATTGGTATTCTTGAAATGGCTAATAGATTTTTAAAAAGATTTTTATTGGGGAATTGGGGGAGGGGAACAGTGTTGGGGAATTGGGGAGGGGGACAGCCAAGTTGTTCTTCAGTCTTCATTTTGGAGGGTGCCAATCGCCATCTGGCTTCCCGTCAGCAGCCTCTAAGCTCAAGGTGATCAATCTTAGTTGCAGGTGAGCATAGCCCACCATTGAACAGGCAATCTTGTTACACCAGCTGAGCCACCCTGCCACCTGTTGGCAGCTCAGCGACAGCGGGCGCAGCGTCACTGGCCCATGTGGGAATCGAACCGGCGGCCCTGTTGTTCAGAGCTCATGCTCTTAAGCCAAGTCTTAACCAACTGAGCCACTCGGCCGGCCCTGGCTAATAGTTTTTAAAAAGAGTTCTCCGACTTTGAGTTTTCTGATGTTTCCTCATGAATAGGTTGAAGTTGTTTATTTTATGCATTTTGGGTACCAGTTTGATCACTTGGTTAATTGGGTGTCCGCTAGGTTCCCCCCCTTTAAAGTGAGTGTTTTTTGTAATTAATAAACATTCTATAGGGAAATCATTTGAAACTATGTAATATGCTATTTGTCATCAAACTTTTATAACATAGTTTTAACAGTCACTGGTGAATCTTAGCAGAATAATGGTGACTTTTCAAAGTGTGTTGTTTGATACGTCTATTAGTTGGTATTCTGCTCTAAGGAGGAATGTGTGTATCCTGGCTTGTGCTAAATGTTCAACAAAGATTTTTTTAACTGAGAATACTGAGTGAAATATGGCGAACCACAGGACAAAGCAGGGAGAGGGTTATGTTATCTCAAGGGTTTATTGAAGCTCATGTGTAAGCTACGGAGTGGAATGAGAGCGGCACTTAATACGATTTCCAAGGTTGGTGATGAACTACATTTCACGCGACAGAGGGAGAAGAGCATGTTTGGGGATTATAACAGCGCCATCTCTGGCTGGGTGCCAACCGTTCTTTTGAACTGACGGAGGCACTGCAGTGGGGTTCAGGTTCAGAGTCACACTAGATTGATAGTCAATGTAGATGATGAATCACCAGTAGGCCTCCCCATTTTTGTTGGTTATTCCTTTGTTTTCATAGCCTTTAGTGTGTCAGACATTGGTGTTGAAGGAACTGGGTTGAAGGGTCTATCTGAAGGCGAACACTCGGCTTCCTGGGTGTTCATGTGTCCCCTTTCACTGTCCACCCACCCTTTTGAGGTGATGTCTGCAGTGGGTGTGGTGGCTAAAACCTATGTCTCCCTAGATTTTGTGTTCTCTGTAATGGAATTGGAAGCAGTTTTTACTAGTCATAATCCCACTTTTCATGCTAGTGAAGTATGGTTTCCAGAATAGATTCTAAGTTTTGAAAAGCGACTTGGTTGAATGAATGAAATGCATCGTGAATATGATTTTTCAAAATCTGTTTCTGTGTTGCTGAGGTGCAGGCTGCTTGATAGGAGTAGAAATGTTAGATGAGTTTATAAATGGTGAATCAGTACGGTGTGTTTACAGAGGCATGGACGGGACTAAAGGCTGAAATACTGATCTGAATGTCCCCTGCCCCCTATATCTAACTTTGCAGTTAGTCTTCTGTGATAGGCTTGTAACAGAGGCTCAGTAAAGATTGTCATGTTTTTTCTTTTCTCGTCCTCTCTCCTAACCTCCTCCGCCTCCAAGTGAAGCCGTTGTTCTCAGTCTACCGTGTTTCCCCGAAATATTTTAAGACTGGGTCTTTATATTAATTTTGCTCCAACAATCTACATTTATTCATTTATTCATGTACAAAAATCTACATTTATTCAAACAGTCATGTCTAGTTGACGATCTTAACTGGGGCTTATGTTTGGGGTAGGGCTTATATTACGAGCATTCTGAAAAATCATGGTAGGGCTTATTTTCTAGTTAGGTCTTATTTTCGGGGAAACAAAGTACTTGAGGTTGCCGCTCACTGGCCCATGTTGGTATTATGAGCATTGATTGCGCTCTAGCCCGCTGAGGCGGTGGGTCGCCGTCCATCAGCTACTCAAGGCAGCTTAGCTCCAGGTCAAGCCATTGTTCACTATCTTAGCTGTAGAGGGTGCAGCTCACTTGTCCATGTGGGAATTGAACCGGCAACCCTGTTCAGAGCTCGTGCTCTAAGCAACTGCGCCACCTGATCGCCCCTAAACATTGTCATTTAATGCATAAGGGGAAAATGGAAGTGAGGCCAGAATTACTGATTGTAAACAAATGAAGTATATCAACTGAATGAATGTGCAAATAAACAGGCAAACTAAGGACCGGTGAAGAAACTTATCATCTAATGAAGAAACAATTGAATAAGTCAGTCAGGGACCAAGGGAAGTCTGTTAACTTTACATTATAAATACTGTTCCATTCACTTATGTAATATGGGTAGTTTGGAAATTTTGAAATCCTTCTAAAATACACCTTCTCCCATCAGGCCAAATATATTGTTTTGGTGTTGGTTTTATTAAGACAGTCTTAATAACACCATATATTTCAGTCTCAGTCTAGCAAACTCTTAAAATTTCCATGATGTGACAGGAATTAAAAAAAAAAGAAATCACAACAGGAAAGCATATTACTATGTAATTATTCTCAGGGATGATAGTAGAAACTGTGCTGCTGAACCCTTTTAGATACAGGACGCAATTGTAGAATAGTCCAAAGGAAATGCAGCCTCTAATTTCCATTCTAAATGGAAGGCCACGTGTCTTCCTGGCAAGTGGGCAACCTGGCTGGGTCTTTTCATGATGAAAGGCACTTTCAAGGTGGTAGCTGTGA